TTTAAAAATCAAGTGGTAGATGGACACAAGACCTTTATTTTATTTATTTTTATGTGGTGCTTAGGATCAAACCCAGTGCCTCACACATGACAGGCAAGCGCTCTACCACTGAGCCACAACCCCAGCTCAATACTGGTGTTTTTAAAAATTAAAATTAAAATATATATGAAACTTAAATCCTGGAGATGGTCTTATAACTCAGTGGTTCAGTGCTTGCCTAATCTGTGCCAGGTCTTGAGTTTGATACCCAACACCACACACACAAAAATAAATAAAAAATAAATTCCAGGGCCGGGGATATAGCTCAGTTGATAGAGTGTTTGTGTTGTTATGACCAAAACCCTGGGTTCAATCCCCAACACCACAAAATAAATAAACATAAAAATAAAAATAAATTCCAGGTGAAATTTATCACTAGAAAAAGGTATTTAAAACTTTAAAAAATATGGGGCTAGGGATGTGGCTCAAGCGGTAGCGCGCTCGCCTGGCATGCATGCAGCCAGGGATCGATCCTCAGCACCACATACAAACAAAGATGTTGTGTCGGCCGAAAACTAAAAAATAAATATTAAAATTCTCTCTCTCTTAAAAAAAAAAAAAACTTTAAAAAAATAAATAAAATTAATACTTTAGGTAAATTGATGGGTTACAGAAGCAGAGCTAGAAGGAATCTTCTAATTTCAACCTTCTACCTGAAGGTTGAGTCCCCTCACAACATTCTGAATAAGTAGTTAACTAAGTTCTTGATTAATACCTTCCTCAACAGAACTCACATTTTACTCTACTTTTGACCCCTCTACATCCTGGAACCCAAAAGGAATGTTCTGATTCCTTCTCTAAACTTTCTGAGACTTTACCAGAGAAGATAATTATAGTCATCTACATGTTTTCAGTGTCAGTCAGACTTGGGTCTGATTCAACATACAATTCATACAGACCCGTTTTTTTCTTTCTTTTTTTTTTTTCAGTATGCAGTACTAGGGATTGGACCCAAGGGCACCAACAAGATACAATCTCAGCCCTTTTTTTGAGACAGTCTCACTAAATTGCAGAGGCTGTCCTTGAACTTGCATGAACTACTATGCCAGGTCATACATTCTTTTTTTTTAAATTTTTTTTTTAGTTGCAAATGGACACAATACCTTTACTTTTATTTATTTGTATGTGGTGCTGAGAATCGAACCCAGTGCCTCACATGGGCTAGGCGAGCCCTCTATCGCTAAGCCACAACCCCAGCTCCAGTTATACATTCTTTAGAGAAGCAAGTTTGGGATAAATATCTCTCATTACTCTAAATACCATATTTCTAGTGAGTAAACTGAAACCAGCCTACAGACTATACTGATTAAATGCAAAGTCTTCTCTTTGAGGTAAAGGTAAATGGAAAAGTATCTCTTGTTTACAGCAACAAAAACTTATAGCAAGATGAGTGTGTTGATCCTTTGTGTATTTCATGGAAAGGGCCTTAGAGTATTCCTTGTGAAAATATACACTTTCATTCTAGGGACGTGTATAGAAAACAAACATGAAATTTCCAGATTTCAGGGGTTGGGGGTGTAACTCAGGGGTAGAGTGCAGGCCTAGCATATGTGAGGCCTTGGGTTTCATTTCCAGTACCAAAAAAAAAAAAAGTATATTTCTTGGCAAGGATGGAGAAAAGGTAGTTATTTTCAAAGACAAAAAAGACACTTTGTAAGTAAGCACATGACTGCATATACTGTCACAAAATTTACTCTGGATTAAATTTATTTTAAATTAAATTTATTTTGTTACTGGGGATTGAACCTAGGGGTATGCTACCACTGAGCAATACCCCCAGTAGTTCTTACTTTTTCATACAGGGTCTTGCTAAGTTGCTGAGAGGCCTCGAACTTACAGTCCTCCTGCCTCAGCCTCCTGAGTAGCTAGGATTGTAGGTGGGTGCCACCACAACAGGCTACTGAATTAAATTCATTTTTGTGTGTCCTGAAAACCAATGTCTAAAATATGGCATGATGTAATGGTTAAAATAAGCACAAATGTTGTTGCATCATTGTAGAAAGATTGGAATTGGTGGTTGAAAAATAATAATACTCTGAAAATTTCTAACCCCAGAATATAATTTATTCCACACTTTATTGCAACTTTTAGACCATACAGTGTACTCTAAAGAAATGTCCAAGTTGAGCCAGGCTCAGTGGCATACATCTGTACCCACTGACTCAGGAGGCGGAGGCTGAGGCAGGAGACACAAATTTAAGGCTAGCCAGGGTAATTTAGGAGACCTTGTCTCAAAATAAAAAATAAAAGGGCTGGGGCATACTCAGGGCTGGGTTCAGTCCGCAGTACCACACACCAAAAATAAATAAATAAGAAGAAAATTTTAAAAGAGATTTCTAAATTGAAACTTTATTATTACTTAAGGAGGAAATCCTTTAATCCCCGCCCCCCTTCATTCTTTATTCCTTTTCCAGCCTGTAATAGATGATTTAGAGTGCAGAGTGCTACCAGATGTAATGAAGCCAACAGGCATATCACACAGAACTGTTATGAGGGAATTATCCAGAGTAAATTAAGTTCTGGATATGTCATAGATTGGAGACCATAGGTATTTAGGGAAGCAATGGAGTAAGAGTTCTTTGGCAAGTCATTCCACTACAGTCCAGGGGTTAGGGCTCAAACTAAACCAATGAAGTTGAGAAGTTAGCCATTCAATGCATTTGCTGAGGTAAAATATAAGTCATCATTTAAACCAGTAAACAGTAAATATACATAATTGGGATAAGGCTAACAGACTAATAAATACAGTCTAACCACTTAATTAAAAAGTCCCATAGGCTGGCACAGGAGCACATGCTTGTAATCACAGCAACTCAGGAGGTTGAGGCAGAAGGATCCCAAGTTCGAGGGCAGCCTCAGCAATTTAGCAAGACCCTGTGTAAAAATAAAAGGAGCACGCCTGTATCCCAGCAACTCCAGAGGCTGAGACAGGAGAATCTTGAGTTCCAAGCCAGCCTCAGGAAGGGCGAGGCACTAAGCAACTCAGTAAAACCCTGTTTTTAAATAAAATACAAAAAAAGCCTGGGGATGTGGCTCAGCAGTTGAGTACCCCTGAGCTCAATCCCTGGTACCCCCCAAAAAATAAAAAAATAAAATAAAAAAGGGCTGGGGAGGTATCCCTGGTTTCAACCAGTACATAAAGAAAGAATTCCACAAATGCACTTTGGTAATTACTAGCAGAGGCGAGGAGAGGAGGACAGGAAGAAAACTCAATTTCTTGGTTCTCCTAAAGACACCATTGGAAGCCTGCTCTGTGTTTGCTATTTCTCTTATTCTGAGATAATTCGGGGCTTCTCCTGCTTCTTGGACTACCAAGCCTTCTTCAGATCCCTAGTTCAAGTCTGGTGGATCCCTCTCCCAAGTCCTTCACATAGCCTCCTCTGCCCTCATCTATCTGGCACCTCAAGTAGATGACACTTGGTCAATTCCCAGGTCATTTCAGAAAGCAGGGGTACCCTCAGTTTTTCCTCAATTATCTTCTCCCCAGCCCTCAAACCATACATTTCCCTCTTTCCTGACAGAAGACCACCCTATTCTCTGCCTGTGCATCCGGAGACACTCCATTCCGACCCTCAGAGATGGACCCCCCTCGTTCCTACTTCAGCAGGTTTCAGGTGTCTTCCCACCGACTCTATCTGTGGGCCTGCTCTCTCCCTTGTCTCTTGCCCTTGGAAAAGGACCTGCCTCCTGTCCCTTTGGCTGCATCGCCGAGGCCTCAAACGCGCCCCTCGGATGAAGTTTGGGCCCTCCTTTCCTCAGCAGGACCCCTTCTCGGCTCTCGCTGCCACCGACGCTCCGAGGGTCTCCCGCGAGCGGCATCGGGGCTTCCCTCCCCTCTGCCTCCTCCCGGGCGGGCGCCAGGCCCCTCCCAGCTACTCATCGAAGGGCCGGAGCTCACGGACCCCGCCCGTGGAGGTACCCCGGGCACCCCCGACCCCTCGCCCGGGTCCCGGGCGCCCGGACGTCTCGGTCTGGAGTAGCTCTGGCCCTCCAGGCCCCTCGGCCGAGGACTTCCGGGCCCCTCGGTCCGGGGGCGCGGGACCCCCCACCCCGTGTCGGGCTCGCCGGCCCCGCCGGCCTGGTCCCCGGGACCCGAGCACACGCAGCGCGGCCGGCCGCGCTGGGGGTGGCCCGGCTGCTCGGGCGGACCCAGCGGCAGCGTCCCCCCACCCCCCCGCGGCGCCGCGACGTCCGCTCGCTCCCCGGCGGCGGCGGCGGCACGCACAGGGCGTGGGGAGGCGCCCGCGGAGGCAGCAGCCCCCCGCCCCCTGCGCGCCCGCCCGCCCTCGCCGGCCGCCGCGCGGCCCCCGCGCCAGCCCCCCCGCCCCCACCCCACCCCGCGCCCGCGCGCCCACCCCTCCCCCTCCTCACCGTCTCCGTCGGGCGGGCGGGCGGCGAGCGGCCAGGGCGGGCGGGCGACGGAGCATGCGCAGAGGCCGCCACGGCTGCTACCGCCACCGCCGCCGCCAGGCCGGGCTTCAACACTTCCGGCCGCCGCCGCCGGCGAGCTGGCGCCTTAAAGGGGACGCGTCCCTATTTGCCAGCCCCGCCGAGGATAAACCTCGGCCCTGGGATATGGGCTTTTCGTGAGCAGGGGGTCTTCAGCCCTTGAAAGGCAGTATTGGAAAGGTCGCTAGTGACCCCAGGAACTCTTCTCCCCCCACACACTTTGTAAGGCCTAAGTTAAAGAATAACCTCATCCACAATCAGGGACCAGCCAGGTTTCTCTACTCCTCTGGAGGACTCTATCCCGTTTACCTACCCAAATCCTATTTGATGCAGTATATAGCTTATCAGATCTTCAAGTTATCATCCAATTATCAATTTGAATCAAAAGATCCGGTGGAGGAGGGGAGAAGCATGCCTGTAATCCCCGTGACTCGAGGCTGAGACAGGAAAAGTGCAAGTTCCAGGCCATCCTGGGTAGTTTAAGACCCAAAATGAAAAGGGCTGGGATGTACCTCAGTGGCAGGGCACTTGCTCAGTGTGCGCGAGGTCTTGGGTTCAATCCCCAGCACGGCGCGGGGCGGGAATCTGGCTGAGCAAGCCCCTTACGTGTGACTCAGGCTTGTGCGCTAGGGCTTTCCTACTTGTGAGGTTCTGGTTTCAACTCCTGACTTATCTGTTGGAACTTTAACGACTCCGGAGGAGTGACTTGGCAGCTCTAAACCTGTTTTCCAAAAGGCATAATGTGTATGTAACAAATAAATGATACATCAGAAGTGCTTAGGAAAGTTTCTGGGATCAGTAATAATAACTAACAAGTATTAAAACCCCATGACCAGGCTTTGGGGGAGATGCCTTTGTTTAGTATAAGCCTCACAAAAACTGTGTTAAATAGATGAAGTTCTTTTCACTACCATTTAACAGATTAAAACGAAAGAAAAGAAAACATGAGAAGCTAAATGGGATAGCCAGGATGTAAACTTCTTTCATCAGAGTACAGGGTTATAACTACGAAGGTGGTTGCTATTATGAGTAGGAAATCTTCGTGGTGCTTTCTTGTAATCCTAGCAATTTGGGAGGTTGATGCAAGATGATCACAAATTCAAGGTCAGCTCCTCAGTGTTTAAGCAAAACCCTGTCTCAAAACAAAAATAGAGGAGGTGGCTCAGTGGTAAAGTGCCCCTGAGTTCAATTAATTAAAATTAATTAATTAATTAATAATATGTGCAAAGACAAAGAAATGAGAAATGAAGCTGAAGAGGGAAGCAATAGGGATTGAACCTAGAGTTTCCAACATAGTAAGCACACACACTGCCACAGAGCTACATCTCCAGCCCCTTGATTATTTATTTTTATTGTTGACAGGGTATTTCATTGTGTTGCCTATGCTGTCCAGGCTGGCCTCAAACTTGCCATCCTCCTGCCTCAGCCTTCCAAGTAACTAGAATTACAGGCATCTGCCACCATGCCTGGCTCATGGAATTTTGAAATCCTTTCCACCTGCACAGCCAACACCCAGCTCCAGCCCACAGAACTTTAGAAATTTTCTAGTGGTTAGCACCCCACCCACCCCATCCCCAAATGTTATTGTCCTAGGGCAAGTAATCTGTGAAGGAGATAAAAAGTCAAATTATGTTTCCTCCCAGTTAAAAACCCCTCAGGGCCTTATCACTTGCTGTTCCCTCTTCAAGGAGAGTTCCTCCCTCAGGTCTTCAGAGCTGGTTCTCATCTTTCATTCCTCTCATGCCTTCCCTGGTTCCCAGCACAGGTCAGGTCCCACCCAAATAGTTCTCTATTATTGCCATCTCTGGTTCCATCAGGACCTACTATTTCAGGGCAAAGACAGCATCTGAGAGAATTCCTTCCCCAGGTCCTAGTTATTTTCTCTCACATTTCCCTGCTTACCTATATAACAACCTTCACAATTTCTTCCCCCCCCCTTTTTTTTTTGTTTGTTTGTTTGTTTGTTTGTGGTGTTGAGGATTGAACCCAGGACTTTGAACATGCTAGGCAAGGGCTCTACCATTGAGCCACATCCCCAGATCTCCCAGGTTTTATTTTGTTTGTTTTTTTCAAATGGGGTCTTGCTATATTATCCAGGGTAGTTTACAGCTCCTGGCCTCAAGCTATTTTCCCACCTGAGCCTCCTGAATAGCTGGAATTACAGGCCTGTGACATGGCACCTGGCTAATCCTCACAATTTCAAATCCCCTAGATTATATATTTATCTATTGTACATCAATCTCTATCACCTATCCACACAATGTTTGAAACAGAGTTCATTGCATGCAGAAAAATTAAGAAAGAAAATATGAGACCTCAGGTGTAGTGGTGCATGCCTAATTCCAGCTACATGGGAAACTGTGGCAGGAGGATCACAAGTTCTAGGCCAGCCTAGGCAACTTAGTAAGACCCTGTCTCAAAATTCAATGTACACTGGGCACGGTGGCACACGCCTGTAATCCCAAGTCTCAGGAGGCTGAGGCAGGAGAATCTCAAGTTCAAAGCCAGCCTCAGCAACTTAGCAAGGCCCTAAGCAACTCAGTAAGATCCTGTCTCTAAATAAAATTTAACAAGGGCTGGGGATGTGACTCAGTGATTAAGTGCCCCTGGGTTCAATCCCTGGTACCAAAAACGTAAGTAAATGAATATTAAAAGGAGTGGGGATGTAACTCGGTGACATGATGTCCCTGGTTCAATCCCCAGTACTGAAAAAAGAAAAAGGGGGAAAATTATATTGTCTGGATGGGGTGCTGGAGGTGTAGAGTTCATGCTTAGCATGCATGGATTAAGTTCAATCCTCAGCAACAAAACAAACAAACAAACAAACCAAACAAACTGCAAAGAGGAAAGACCAGGAAAAGGAATCTGTGGGAAGACTGCTATGATCATCCAGGCAAGAAAGAGCAAGGGCCTTATGCAACACAAGGTGAGAAAGCACATCAGCAGTAAAATATCTTAAGCTAGAGTGGCAATGACAGAGGGTCCTTCATATTTGGTGCAGACATGGTTCCAAAGTTCTCCACAAGCATGATTTGGAGCTTATTACAAATCCAAACGTGGCAGTGTCAAAATGACACTGATGATTTTGCCTGCTTTGCAATAATACCCCTTGGAGATGTTACTGTCTCATGGTATTCAGCTTCCTTTTCTCTGCAGGCTTTAAAACCTGAGAAGAGTCTGGTGTGGAGGTGTACACCTACAATCCTTCCGACTCAGGAGGCTGAGGCAGGAGGTTCTCAAATTCAAAGATAGCCTCAGCAACTTAGCAGGGCCCTAAGAAACTTAGCAAGACCCTGTCTTAAAAGAAAAAAAATAAATAAACAAAACATGGGTGGTTGGGCGTGTGGCTCAGTGTTTAAGCACCCTTGGGTTCAATCCCTGGGGAAGGAAGGAAGGGAGGAAGGGAAGAAAGGAGGGTAGGAAGGGAAAAGAGGGACGGTAGGATGGGAAGGGAGGGAAGGGAGGGAGGAAGGGAGAAAGAAAAGGAAGGAGGGATGGAGAGGGGGAGGGAGGAAAGAAAGTCTAAGAAGGGGCTGGGGATGTGGCTCAAGCGGTAACGCGCTCGCCTGGCATGCATGGGGCGCTGGGTTTGATCCTCAGCACCACATAAAAATAAAATAAAGATGTTGTGTCCACCAAAATCTAAAAAATAAATATTAAAAAAAAGAAAGCCTAAGAAGAACATATCAGCAATGAGCCCATGTGCTTCAGACTTTGTTCAAAATTAGAACCATAGGCATTAGTAACAGACCAGATTTGAGGGGCAGAGGTGAGAAAGGGTCAAGAAAGACCCTAAATGAAGGAACGAAGCACAAAGAGTTGGTTTGGCGAGTTGGGGATTGAGGAAAGGTAGAAATGTGAGTCACTTCAGACTGTGGAGCCTGGGGTGCTGTTGAGACATCCAGATGAAGGTGTCCAGAGGAATTGGATTGACTGGTCTCAGGCAAGAGGCCAAGGCTGGAATTTGGGACCTGTTGTGTAGATGAGACAACCAACCTCAAGAGTGGATGAGGTCACTGAGGAGGGTGTGCAGAGAGGGTGAGGACCAGAGGCTCAAACCTAGGCAGCACCAAGACTTAGGGAACCTGCAGGACACACCCAAAAGTTGTATCCCTAGACAGAGAGGAGACAGGAAGCCCACTGGGCAGCCAGGGAGTTTCCAGAAGGAGATAACACCAATATTAGAAACTGCAGAGTGCCCTGGCAAGGAAAAGGAGTAGCCATTGGATTTGACAAATGAGAGGTCATTGCTGATCCTTCAGAGGCAGGGTCCCCTGGGGCTGAGGATATAGCTTAGTTGGTAGAGTGTATGCCTTGCATGCACTAAGGCCCTGGGTTCAATCCCCAGCACCAAAAAACAAACCAAACAGAAGTGGGGTCCCCTCTGAGGTTGAAGAGGATGCCAGAGTATAAAGGATCACGTAGGAAATAGAAAAAGTGCAGAGTGAGTGGCTATAACTCTTTAATTTTTTTTTTTTTTTTTTTTTTTTTGCTACAGTTGGGATGGTAGTGCAAGTGCAAGACTATAATCCCAGTGACACAGGAGGGTGAGGCAGGAGGATCACAAGTTCCGGGCCAGCCTTAGCAACTTAGTGAGACCCTGCATCAAAATAAAAAAGGGCTGGGGATGTGGCTCAGTGGTAAATTGCCCCTAAGTTAAATCCCCAGCACCAAGAAAATTGCAAAATACATGAAAGGATGCTATTTCATTTTAATCTTTTTTCCGTGATTTTTTTTTTGTATCGGGGATTGGACTCAGGGGCGTTCAACCACTAAGCCACTTTTGGTTTGTTTTTGGTGCTGGGGATTGAACCCAGGGCCTTGTGCATGCAAGGCAAGCACTCTGCCAACTGAGCTATATCCCCAGCCCTTTGTGTGTGTGTGTTTATTATTTAGAGACAGGGTCTCACTGAGTTACTTAGTGCTTACCTATTGCTGAGGCTGGCTTTGAACTTGTGATCCTTCTGTCTCAGCCTCCTGAGTCACTGGGATCAGAGACATGTGCCACCAGGGCTGGCCCCATTTTCCATGCAATTATTCCTTTTACCTTGATGAATTATCATAAAGACACAATTTCACATTACACTTTTTTTTCCCCTCACTAAACGCTGTTCTCTAAACATTGAACTTTCTTCTCCTTCTCTTTTTTGTTTCTTCCTTTTTCTGTTCTTTTCTTTTTTTCCCCTAGTGTTGGGGATAAAATCCAGAAGCTCAAAACTCAGGGCCTCAAGCATGCTGGGCAAGTGCCATACCACTGAGATACTCCCAGCCCTCTTCTTTTTCAATATGAAAGATGCTTGGATACTTGGGCCACCAGTCTGCTTCCTGTCCTTCAGCATTCTAGGGATAGGTCTGATCAAAGACTAATTTTGTTTAGGAGATGATTCTGTTCATTTGGGTGAATATAAAAGCCAAACAGTGGAAATACCTGTGGGGGAAGTCATCAGTGTTAGAAGAGCTCTGTGTGGGATATTGAAAGACACCCAGTTTCCTTTAGAGAGCCTGTGGGTGTAAGCTGAACATGGTCCCCCAGTGGCTGCAAGCCAGTGTGTCAACAGCAAAGAGACTGAGGGGGGTAATGTCCAGGCTTGCTGAGAGCTTGCTAGCCTCCATATACTGCCCTAAAGGCTTAGATGTCCAACCTCACAGG